GACATGAATGACTTGTTTGTTCAACCAGCAGAGAGCTTTCAAATATTGAAAAACTATTTCTCCATTTTTTTTATATTTGCAATTAAATAGCTACAGACACAGTTACACTTTTTAGTTGAGTCTGTTATCAGTATTTTCCTAATTGTCTTCTCGAGTCTGAAAACATAACAATATAATAAATTACATATTTGCTGATTTCAGTGTTATAAATACTCTCATTATGGTCAATTTCAAGTTATCAAGGTCAGGTCATTGATTCTCTTTGAGGTAACAAAAACTATATTATTTCCTTAGTTTATAAATTGTCAAATCAGTAAATGCAAGTTTTAGGTACACTATATTAGTCAACTTTATACTTTATATAAATCCTAATTGTTTTACCCCTAGTCCTCAGTAGGACCAGTTGCAGGTGGGAATGTGCTACCAAGGAAAAAGGAAAAAGTATAGCTGGCTTCTCTCATTCTTGCTTATCACCTCTACACATACTAACTGCTATTTCTGACCTTCCCATGAAACTTCTGCGGTGATTGAAACTATTGTAAAAAGGATTTATGAGATCTCTGAGCCCAGAGTGAGATGTTGAAAGTTGTTTATTTTTGTTTTGTTTTTAACATATTCTCTGATAGATACGTCACACCACCACCATTAACAATAATGGCCAAAGATGACACGTTTTTCTACATCTTTCTGGTGCCTTTCCACCCTTGATTGGTTTCTGTTTGTGTTTTGTGTTTGCTTTGTCAGTGCAGTCACAGACTCTTCCTGCTGGGGAGTCTTGTCAGGATTTAAAATGGCTCCACGCTGACCTCCCACACAGCCCTCTTCTCTTCCATGGAAAACATATGTACACATATTTATCCAAAAAAAAAATTCTGAAAGTGAAAGCCAATTCCAATACAACACTTACTTTCCTTTGTTCTGGAGAACCCATTTATTTTCTTTTGGATTGTCCCAACAGGCATCAGACACTCTTTCTGGCTGCTGGACTCACTGTTGGAAACACTTACAGGATTCTCAAAGAGCCTGTGGAAGCCCCTGTCTCTATACTTAGGCAGAGAAGCTGACATACCTGCTGCTTTCCCTTGGGTCAAGGAATTGTGTATGCCTCTGTGTGCGTGCGTGCGTGTGTGTGTGTGTGTGTGTGTGTGTGTGTGTATACAGGTGACGTGTGGACAAAAGTAATACCAGGACAGTTTTTTTCAAACAAACTTTCCAGGCAAAATCTCTGCCACTATCAGTTCTGTTTACCTAACTCTATCCTTACAGTGTGCTCAAGACGTCTGAAACTGATTTAGGTCTACATTCTGTATAAAGTTATGCATACTATCTAGTATTATCAGACTCAAAACCATCTCTTTGTCATTCAAAAGCCAATAGATGGAAAGGAGGGTTGGGAGGAAGGTGGCAGGGTACTATCTTTATAAAGAAAATCCACAGAGCTGAAATGACCTCAGCAACTGGTTCCTGTGATCCTGCAGCAAGGCTTTCAAATGGATAGCACAGAGTAACAAGCAGGAGTTTAGTAGAGAGAAAGTGAGATAAGCACATTGTGCATGCACTGAATAGATGTCTCTGAGACAATGATGTAGTTCTTACACAGAGTCTGGGTTTATAAAGGAATTGGGGTCCCTCTGTTCTTTCCCTAGTTTCTCATATCCCTTTAAGTGTTTTCTTGCTCTTTGTATATCCCTTAGCAAATTTTCTTTGTCAGGGTTCTGATGACCTCACAAGGGGTGACTCTGATAGTTGTGACATGATCTTGAAACAATAGATCCCTTAAGGGGTTATTATGAACTCTACTGGGGGAGGTTTGACATTCCAATTCACATATTCCAGATATTTAAATGTCTCTTTTGATCAAGTTTTCTGCTATCTATAGTCCTGACTTATGGACTTTCTTTGATGGATATGTCTGATGTCCTCCCTGTAAATTACTGTCCTTCATTGTCCTCTCCCTATGCACCTGCTCCTGGCTGACTATCTACCTAATACTTTCTTTCCAAACAAAGGTCATCTTAGGAAACTCAACTGCTAAAATTGGCTTTTAAAGAGAAGGAAGGCTGGTAGTGAGATAATGGGAAGACTTCATGCCACGGGTGGCATTCAGATTCAGGAACCTTCTTCCATCACTCAGGGCATGTTTTCCTTTCTTTTCTGCCAGTGTGATAATAATTGATCATTATCTTCTAGGCCAGTCCCCTTACCTCTTTGTTTTTTTCCCCACAATTCTTTAAACAAGCACATATTTCCCCACAAATTGAACATTAGTCTACTTTTAATTAAAGAACAGGATTAGCAAATCCTGGGCCTGAACTTTGACGTTATTAGAGAGTATCAGATATTCCAAATTCTGAAAAACTAAAGATTATGGATTAGGAGGTCCTGGTACAAATATTTTTCTAGTTCCATTTACTGCAAGAACTGATGGTTGCAGTTAGTGTCCCAGTCACTTAAAGGCTGACAAAATGTGAATCAAAGGGGAAAAACAAAGAATAACTTTAGCAGGGTCAATTTGCATAGTAGAACTAATCTAGAATAGGGTAGCACAAGACACATTCCATTGCCAATATCACTGTTTTACTACTGTCTACAATGTAATTCAGTCTTTTTCTTGATATCTTACACAAAACTTGTATTTTACCCCATTATTACACTATAAACAAAGTTATCATCTTCAAGAATTTTTGATATACTCTAAAAGCTATTCTCATATCTCAATAGCCAACCTACATGCCCTTCAGTGGATGGATGGATAAAAAAAAATGTGGTATATATATACACAATGGAATTTTACTCAGCAATAAAAGAGAACAAAATCATGGCATTTGCAAGTAAATGAATGGCCTTGGAGAAGATAATGCTAAGTGAAGTTAGCCAATCCCCCAAAAAACAACCAAATGTTTTCTCTGATATAAGGAGGCTAACTTATAGTGGGGTAGGGAGGGAGAACATGGGAGGAATAGATGAATTCTAGATAGGACAGAGGGGGTGGGAGGAAAAGGGAGGGGGCAGGGGATTACCAAGGATGGTGGAATGTGATGGACATCATTATCCAAAGTACATGTATGAAGACACGAATTGGTGTCAACATACTTTATATACAACCAGAGATATGAAAAATTGTGTTGTTTATGTGTAATAAGAATTGTAATGCAATCTGCTGTCATTTATTTTTTAAATGAAATATGAAAAAAAGAAAATTTACACATGGATAGAAAAAATATCGTTCATACAATATTTGTTATAATTAGAAATTAGAAAAAAAAGACAAAGTATATTTAACAGGCAAAGTCAAATATATCCTGATTAAGCTTTCTAGAAAAATCATCTCTCAGCATTTTATTTTGCCCCCATGTAAATGAAAATATAGACATAAATAGCTAGACTCTCTTCATCTTGTGGTTACTGGAGTTCTCTGTCCCTGGTCTCCTTACATTCTACATGGTGGTCATACTTTCCTGTTGGCCAGTTCAAAACTTTATTGTAATTTTAATGGCAGCATGCATTCTTTTTTATGAATATATTATTTTTGCTTAACTAATCAATCATCTACTATTGAATATTTGGGTGCAATTTGTTTCTATGTAAACTGCAGTACTTTGAACAAATTGTATGTGTATCATTTATATTGATTTATTTCCTTTCAGTAACCACAATAATATTGCCTCTTGTGGTGTGCATTTGCATTTTAATAGGTATTAAGCCTTAAGCCAAAGGCACACATTTCTAAAATAGAAATTCAGGTATCAGTTAATGGGAAAAGGATATATTTGAGGGACATATTATCCCTTTCTGTTCCTGGAGAAATCTTAGTAATTAGACAATTGCCTGTGACTGCCTACTCATGAATCTCAATCAAATTATGTGTGTTATTCCTATGATAAGCCTCTTTTAATTATTAATATTTTGGCAAATAATCTAAAACCAAGTTATTCCTAAAAATATTCATTTGCAATGATCCACAGAAATTATAGATGCTTATGTAAAATTCATTTAAAGTTCTCATATCTGCTGAATTAGGTTAGCAATCATACTTAATAGTCTCTCTTCTGCATTCCATTGGTTCATTCTCTTGGATCATTTGAAAAAGTTGTTATCCCCCAGAGAATTATGTAATAAAGTAGTAAGAGTGGAGAACAAAATGCAGATGATGCATTATATTATTAGGGTTTTAATATTTATTAGAATTTTAAGAAAAGCATAGATTTTTTTAAGTTATCTCTCTCGTAGTTTACGATTTCTTCAGTCTTCATTCTGAGGATTTCTAGAACTTTTAGAGAAATACCATAATAATACAGGATAGAAGTGCTTTTGTTTCACTGGTATTGCACATTACAGTAAAACACTTGCATAAGTAAAACGTGCATTATAAATGTGGATGAGTTTAAGGAAAGTGCACTAAAGATTCTGAGCTGAAATTGTACTCTTGTCCAACTTCTTAGTCTCTTACTTAACCTTCACTCATGGTAAAATAGTGTACATGACAATTGCCTTGAAACTAAAAACTATAAACTTTTACAAAGTCCCATTCTAGACTGCTCAATAAAATGCACAGAATTGGAAAATGTGTGTTATATTGTTGAAAGCTGAGAACTTTTTATTAGACTTTAATTTTTTAAATTTAACTATCTTTACAGTCTATCAAATTGCATCTCCCCCGCCTGCAGTAAGAATGCTTCCTTATATGGTTAGTTTAAAAGTTTAAATAATTATAAACCAACGGCAATATTAAATAAAACTCAAATTTATCTGTCATTGAAAAAAATGATGATAAATCACCTGTGACGTGAAGAAAAAAAAAATTGAGGTCAAGATAACTTTGTAATTAATAAGTATTGTGTAATATTTAGAGAAGCAGTATTTTATTTAATATTTGCAGTCACTAGAAGGAACCATTTGGCATAAATCTTTCATAATTTATATTATTGGAGGGGGGAAAAAACGATCCTGTGCCTTTAATTTCCCTTTCTGAGCAAGGGAAGGCTGCACACCACTGACAAGCTCACTTGTTCCTGTCTTTAATGTGCAATCTGTTTTCTCCAGCGGAGGGCACTCAGTGTATCACAAACTCAAGCATTAGCACCAACAAGCTCTGAGCATCATCAGTCTCTGGAAAGCCTTCTGAATTAGACAAGGGCTGCCTCTCAGCACAGCTACAAAACACTTTAAACCTGACCAGCTAAATGGATAAACCTAGCCTGCATAGCTTTTAAACTGGGGTCTCATACAGCACAGGAGGCCTGCTTGCTTCAAGAACTGAAAATCCAGAGGATGAATTGCTTTATCTGGGAATGGCAAAAGCCAGCACAATAAGGAATGCCAGGTATTCTGAAGATTTTATTTTTTTCCTCTCTTTTCACAGAGAAGTTGGTTACCTCCGAGATGGGGCTGTAGCTCTTTTGCACAGATTGCCAATTACTGCTGATGGGTCTCTGGTGAATTACACAATGGTCCTCAGAGCCTAGAGGCCC